CCCACACTCACATCCCACACCCACATCTCCCCCCCCACACCCCACACCCACACCCCACACCCACACCCCACACCCACACCCCACACCCACGCCAACACCCACCCCACACCCACACCCACACCCCACACCCACGCCAACACCCACACCCTTTCTAAATCAGTTTAATCTCGCGAAGCCAACTAGGTTCAATAAGTCTCTTGAATAAGTCCAACCTACTGGCTTGATTGAGATCAAATTGTTCGACCCATACTGGCAGATTTCCAACAGTGTAGCGAAGAGCGTTATAAAGGAGATAAGTGATTTCACCATCTCTTTTTTCGTTAGGAAAATGGCTTATGTTAGCGATCAAATCAATATAGTAGGGGTAGAAGTTAGGTGTCGTAAGACACAACTTGTTGCCATATACGAGGAAAGGTACCAAGCGAGAACACTTGTTTTTCTTTTTCTTTTCTGGTTTGATTGTTGTTGCAGCAATAAGCCGTTTCGATAGTTGAATGTTTGGTCGGTTTGCGGTTTTGGACAATTCATTTTCGAGTTGGAAATCAGTTAGAAGTTGCGATGTTTCATCCAAGAACCGTCCAGTTCCATCTCGAACACCCATCCATCCTGGATGAGCAATATCGTCAACAAGTACGACACCCCCATCCAACATAGCATTAGAAACCAAGCACAAATCTGAATAAGTCAAGAGGGCAGTGTGACCACCATCAATCTGCAAAGCAACAGAAGACAGGGAAATATGTCACTTGTACGATAAATGTAAATAATATCTTACATATGTGGTCTATTTTCTATGGGATAATTATTCTTCTGAACAGGGGATAGTGCCAACTGTCTAGTGTCGTTCAACTCCATAATTTGATCAACAGTACCTTTCTACGATACTTGAAAATTACTTAAAAGTGTTCGAGTGTATAGCCCAGTGGTAAAATTTAATGGACTTTGGCTGATTTTTTCATCCAAAACAAAGTATTTTAGAGAAACAAAAAAAAAGGATTTCAGTCTCAAATATTGCATGTAGATTACTTGAATGGAAACTAAAGTATGCTGGAAGTTTCAGCGACGACGAATATGTCTTTTTAGAGACATGTGCAATACTGGATATAATTTTTCGGACGATTTTATTTTGGGAATAACTATCTTATAAATTTGAGTTAAAAAGCGCGGTTTATGCCAAAATTATAGACACTATCTATGCTATATTCACAGAAAACTTCAACCCTAAATATTGAGTCATCGTGGAACTGAACATATAACAATGAGCAGTAGCCATTTTCTGTTGGACAAGATTTTTCGAAAGATCTCTTAATTTGAGTTAAAATATTCGAAAATTAAAATGTTTATGAAGTGAAATCACGGGGTAAAGCGTGGAATTCTGGAATCTTGGATTCTCCTGAATTCCAAGGATTTCCTATGATTCTTTAGAATTTCAAAGATCATCTAGGATTCCATAGGATTCCATAGAATTCTCCTGGAATTCATGAGAGTTTCTTGGATTCCCTAGAGCTCCTTAAGATTTTCAGTAAGCTTCTATTAGTGTCAAAGGAGACTCTCTGTGTCACGATAGGTTTGGGTGTGCGTGTTGCTGTTCTCTTCGCCAACACCCATATTTACACCCACACTCACACCCTTCACAACAATCATCAGCGAAAAGACATAAAAAATAACATCTTTTTGTCTTTCTTTTTATTTATATCTCTATTTGTTGCTCTTCTATATCTATTCAATATGGACTGCCGGGATATCTATATACAAGTAATAAACTTTTCATTTTAGGAATATATGTTGAGTATTTTTTCCTTTTACTGTTTTTATATGCATAAGATTATGTCTAACGAGGGAACTACCCGAGGTGCTAACAAGCTTTTGAGCTGAAATTTAGTCCACAAGTAGGGAATGCATAGACTAGAAAACGCCTAAGAGGATATGTGCCCAAGTTGAGATTTGGCTGAGATATCGGCTTGTTACTATAGTTTTTCTATGGGACCCCGTTTTTTCCATTAAGTCAAAGTTTCGAATTTTGACGTGAAACTTGGCCTATATCAAGACCTCAACTAGAGTAGCTCATCTACAAAGTTTCAGAATTTTTGGACTAAGCATTCTCGAGATATGAGTCTGTTAGCATAAACACAGTTTTTTACGGATATTTTTATATACATGGATATTTTGAAAACGTTATATCTCGGAAATGCTTAGTCCGAAAATTCTGAAACTTTGTAGATGAGCTAATCTAGTTGAGGTCTTGATATGGGCAAAGTTTCACGTCAAAACTTGAAACTTTGATTTAATGGGAAAAATGGGGTCCCATAGAAAAACTATAGTAAAAAGCCGATATCTCAGCCAAATCTCAACTTGGGCACATATCCTCTTAGACTTTTTCTAGTCTATGCACTCCCTACTTGTGGACAAAATTTCAGCTCAAAAGCTTGTTAGCACCTCGGGTAGTTCCCTCGTCAGAGGGAATAAATTACTGATTCCATATAGATTTGATTCAGTTTGTTTTTTATCCTTTTGATTTTTAAATTTTTTTCATGTCCGTCTTTTTAGCACTATAATGTTGTAATTCATATTGGGAATTCCTTTTATATTTATTGTAAGATATATTTCTATATCTTATTTTTTTTCATTGAAATTATCTCTATTTAAATCGTGAATTATAAAAAAAAACGAATGAAAGTTATGATATTGACAACGAATTAACGAAAAATTTTTTGTAGCTCACGAAAGATTTTTTGATGTGTGTAAAATTTGTTTTTAATCTGTTTGATTGTAATTACAACGAAGGGAAAGTATATTTTTTTTTATACAAGTGCTTATTCAAATGATGGAAGAAGAATTAAAGAACAAAGATTTCGCACAAAGAATACATATCAAATGAGAAAAAGTACAGATTTATCATTAAGCAAATCTAATTTATATATTCTACAATATCATATCTTTATTTTTATTTTTGACATTCGATGATATTACTGTTGATGATAACAATAATTAATAGTATTTTGAATTAGTACTTTTTTTATATTTTCTAAACTTATCATTTTTTTATTTATTTAACTAGATTATGTATCATTAACATTTTTTTTTCCCATTGACAAACTTGATTCTTGAGTATATCTATATCTTTTATTCTGTTTTGTGCATGAATTTTATTTTATTTTATTTTTTGAAGTGTTTTTTAAAAATTTAATATGGAACAAGTATTTCATTCTAACAGCAACTAAGGGAGTTGAAAGCTGTAGGTAATTGAGTGAGTGAGTCATCTACAATAGAGAACTACTAGTAGCATCGTTTGTGACGACATCGAACGTGTGACGAATGATGTAAAGAACACGTTCGGAACGTACGAACATGTTCCGAACTACTCATGTAGAACGTGTTCGCAATATGCGTCATCAACGTGCTCTGTCACTGTGCGCCTAAACTTGGGTATATATTTGTTGTGCACACACACAAATAATCGTTTATATACAGTCCTAACCTACTTTTAGGCAAATGTAGATGAAAGAAACTAATATTTCAAACGATAAAATTCGTACCAGTAGTATGAGAGTATAGTCTCGCTAGCAAACGTATAAAGTTACTTATTATGCAGTAAGCCTTAGAATGATTAGTTACTTTTTTAAAGTATATATTAAGCCGAGTGTAAGATTAAAGAAAGCGATTTTTAAGTATGATTTTGTATCGCATCGATCACCTTTGTAAAGTTAATGAAGCTTATATTTGCATGTATGCTAATATACTAACCTGAATGAGAATATTGTTCGACATAAAAAATGTAGACAAACATTTTTTGTATAAAATAACTGTCTTGCTTATTCATGATGTAGTAACTCTGTGAGAGCATAGCAAAAAGTAGACAATATCATATAATAAAATAATCTATTGAAAATCTTTGTTTTATTATTAGATCGACGAATTTTATAACAAAATGAAATCTAAAATAGAAATATATGCATTGCAAACTATTCTGGCAATTATGGGATCAATATCTTTAACCATTGGAGCAAGTGGTATTTGGATGGGACCAAGCAATATAAATAAGGTCACTGTTCCAATAGGTCTTGACAATCATTATCGTTATCTTTCTGGCTTTGTATTAGGCTTTGGACTTACTATGTGGTTTTATATAATTCCACATATTACACAAGTTGTAACTATTGTTCGCATATTTGCATTTATGGTTTTTCTGGGTGGTATAGCACGAGCAGTTGGATTATTTAAATTGGGTGTTATGCCAGATATATTTAGCCTGATCGCAACAATAACAGAAATCTTTTTTACGCCAATTCTATGCTATTGGCAAGCACGTATAGCTCAACGAAAAAATCAATAAGACAAATAAACGAAATTTGTATTTCAAAAATTATTAATTTGTAACTATTGTTTTTTTCTGTAAAATCTTTTTGACTTTGTTAATTGTTCTTCAATTCTATTAAGTTCTTATTCAAGATCTCAATTTTAAACAAGCTTACTTGACAAAAAAAAGAATCTTTCTATGTGAGTCTTATCTGAGCTCATATCTACATCTACACTCTATACCCGGGTGTGGGTGTGGAGTGTAGGTGTGAGTAAATAGATAAAGAGACCCACACCCTCGATTCAATTAATAATGATTTAAATTTATAACAATAATCATATTTATCTTCACAAATGCTTTGTTTTCTATATAAATAATATTTTTGTCATGGATAATTATAAAAAAAAGGTTGACAATCATTGTCGAAGAAGATGTATATAGTATAGAATAGAATAAATATTTAAAAATGCATTAAATAGAAAATAGAACTTTCAATCAATCATTCATTTGAATTTTTCTTCTTATTTTTGATGGATAATAATGTATTTATGAATATTATTGTGTATTTTCTAGGATGATTTACCTAATTTGAAGTGTTTCTCTTTAACAACATCTCCTTGTTTATCTGATATATATGATAATAGAATTTTACCTTTTTTTTCGTCGTATGTTAAATCTTGAAGAATTAACTTTGTCTGTTACTGTTGCAAATCCAACTACATTTATTGATGGTACTTGTATTTATAATGAAAATCTTATTTATATGCCATGACTTAATAAATTTAACTTTTCTATTTGTACTAATACTTCAATTTACCATTTAATTCATTGTTTATCTAAAGATGATATTCAACGAACTTTTACTAACATTATATTTCAACAAGTAGAATGTGTTGTGAATTACTCATATTGTAATGCTACATGTCGTGTCTTCTCATTACTATTTATGTTTAATGATCTTGATTATTTGGAAGTGCAAGATGAAATTCCATTTGAATATGAATTTTTTATTCGAATTGCTTGGTCTTTTCCTTTACTTAAACACTTACCTATTTTGAATCTTTCATCACAATCATCAATATCAAAGAAATTCAACTGTAATGATAATCAGTTATATTTAATTGTTAAATATCCTTATCTTATTTCACTTAATCTTTATTCTGCAGATAATGATTATGTTGAACAATTTCTCAATGATGGAAAAACATATTTACCTCATCTAGGTAAATTAACAATTGTTTATGATCAATTACAATTTGTGACAGAAAACTTTACAAGAGACACAACATGATTCAATTCAATAGAATTATTCCATTATAAAAATATCAGATTTTCTCATATTTTTCATCTTCATTTAAAAAGAAATTTGAAAATTTTGTGTTGTAAAAAAAAGTAAAGATTATTTTTATGTTTATATTTGAGAAAGAATGCATCGTTTTCTGATGAAAGTTTAAGATTAGAATTTCTTTGTTGAGTTTATTGAACTGATCGATGTAATGATTAGAAAAAAAAACAAACTAGTTAATATTTCTGCCATATACATACTTAGCATAAATCAAAGCAACTGTTTCACAAACATGTATATCATCATCAATAAGATATTGAAAGATAAGATCAATAGAGAATGATCAAACCATGATCAATTCGAAATAAAAACAAAAGAAAAAACAATACTTTTTTCTCTACTATAGAATTATTTCTATTAGAAACATTGCTGTTTTTGTTTATTTGTTGTTGCTCTAGATAAGTTAATATACGAAAATATATATTACCAATAAGCTGGATGTGGGTGGGTGTGGGTGTTATTTTCAAAGGCACACCCACACCCACACCCACACCCACCTCCACCCATACTCACACCCACACTCACACCCACATCCACCCACACCCACACCCACCCATATCCCATGTTTGAATTGTCCTAAGTAATTATGTTTCAAAAAAAGAGGAGTCTTTATTAAAATTTGCATAGAATAAAGAAGATTTTAGTATACTACTTCAATTAGAAGAATGGTTCGTTAAAGCAACACTAGTTTGTATGTTTCTGGCAGCAGTAGAAATGATGTCATCCATTTTCAAGATAATAGTTGGCGATTCCAAGACAGATGATTGATTTTTTTTCATCATCCATAGTACAAAATTTTCTGCTAGAATTTCTTCTGGGTGCATCACATAGAATGTATTATTTCCGATTTGATCGAAAAAATTACTAGCTTCTTCGTATGGTAAATATTGCAATGGTTCCAGTGGTTCGTATGTCGTATCATCTAAGATCAATGTTGTTGCCAGAAGATAATCGAAGAAATTGGTAGAAAAATTTGAATCAAAATCTCGAGAAGCATGTATAATTGGTGTACATTTATATATTTTACCATTTTTATCTCCAAGCTTTTTTAATTCAATATAATATTTCAAAACAAATGGCGCATCTGGATTAGTCATTTTTATTTGCTTTAAACTAGCTGGAAGTTCGATTGACTTTACGACAGGTATTTTATGGTATCCAATACTTGCATATAATTCATCACGAATCGTTAAATTGGTATTCCATTTACTCCATATATGAAATAATTCATGAACAAATATATGAATCATTTTTCTATTAAGAGTAATGGTTTGTGGTAGTACAATAACATTTTCATTACGGCAATATGGAGCATTATTTTCATCTTTTCCATTTGTTAATACAATATAAATTCGTGGTGGATAAGTTAATAGTTTTAATTGTTCTAAACACGTTGTGTTGATGACTTGAACACATGAGGCTACTGCTTGGCTTGATTTTTCATCCCAAATCAAGATTTGTTGTGCAATAAATTTTAGATAATCTTGTGGTGTTGGTGAAGATAGATTTAAACGACATTTTAAATCAAACTCGCTAAAACTACTGATATAATCATCGATTTTTTCTAGTTCTTTGATAGCTTCTTCACCTGAAATTAATTCAATAATGGATTCGTTGGCATTTTTCAATACAAATGTTTTATTCGGCGAATTATTTGATGTTAACAAAGCATTACTGGTATCCATTTTGAAAATACAAACGAAATATCTAAAATCAATCTGGATAGATTAGTTAAGGTATCGTTGTAAGTTTAGTCACATGACACAAAAAAAATTGAAAGTTACTTTATGAAATCCTTACAAATATTCAATAAGAATGATGAATAAAATGAAAGTATCGACGTCAATTCACGATGAAACAATGCTGTTAATGTTTGTTGAATCAAACCGATACTATGTATCCCAATCAAGAAAATTACTCATTCACAACATGTCTACCGTTTTCAATTTTTCACCTGGAGCCACATTTGGTCGATGTTTATCGATAGAACATGAATCATGTATATTTCGCTCGCTATCATCGAAAAATGTTATCAGTGAGTATCAATGTTCATAGGTTGTATCTGACGGGAAAAGATGATTTTCTACACTGTTTATGATGAATTGGTTTGATTAAATAAGAAAATTGTACTAATTGTGATTTATGCCATTGTCGGCTTGAACTGTGATGCTTTCTTATGCTTGAGACAATTAGCCCGTTAGAATGTATTGAACTATCAATAGAAAAATTGAGGTGGTTGACATGCAAAACAAGGATGGTACATTTAGAGACTTGATAGACACATGACTAGTTGAAAAATATTGGAAAACTATATCAAAGAGAAAAACGTTTGAAGTTATCCCAATGAGGATCGGGTGTGAAAGACGATAGAATTGCTTTAGACGAGATCAAAGAATCTTGAGGAATGAAAAATAATTTTCAACGGGTCAAAATTCCCTTTCACTAATACAGACTATCACAAATTCTTCTCAGACTTCTTTGAATGCTTCTCTATTTTTCGATCGAGGAACTTAAATTTATAAGTAATTATCTTGATAAATGAAGAAACATAAACGTAACGATTAAGCTATAGACAAATGAATAATGAAAAAAATATCTCAATAACTCAGTTATTATTTAAATATTCGATGGATGGCCGGAAGATAAAAACTCATTGGTAAAGGATATTCAAATTCTTCCATTTTGACTTCAACACTCATTAATAATCATGTTTCACAAAATTTAATGAAATAAATGTCAGGAATAGTGACTACAGTGATCATCAATTAACAAAGAAAATATATATGTATACCTGAAACAAATACACCAGGAGATACACTAAAATAAGGTATGGGAAAAAAGTTCGCGACATTTTCTTATCGATATTAATAGAAAAATTTCTAAGAACTTTTCTTTCATATAATATACTAAAAGATGCAGCGTGAAAAGCTCTACAATTTGCATAAGACCACTTTTTTTACAGTTGCACTTTTTGTTTTCAAAATCGTCAAAACTTCGAACGACCAAATTTCGACGCTGCGAAAAGATAACACGAACGAGAAGTTATCTTTTTTCTTATTTTATCTTTTCATTACCTGTATATATTGTAGAGCTTTCTACGCTGCATCTTGTGGTATATTTTTTTTTTTTACGAAAACATATTAGGAGATAAAATGATGAAATAAGAAAAAAAGAAATGTCTTTTCATGTTATCTTTTCGTAGCGTCGAAAATTGATCGCACAGAATTTTGTTTTTTTTTTGTATACAAAAAGTAGACAATTAAAATAAGCTTTCATTCGTGGATTGTAGAGCATTTTACGCTGCATCTTTTGGTATATTTTGTTTTTTTTTTAAATAAAAGATTTTAGGTGGTAAAGAGGAAAAAAACGCATTGGCCGTGTATTGAACAAAGACTTTTTCGCAGCATCGAAATCTGGTGGCTCAGAATTTTTGTCGATTTTGAAAACGAAAAGTAGAGCTGTAAAAAGGTGATCCTATGTAAATTACAGAGCTTTTCACGCTGCATCTTATGATGTATTTTGTTTCTTTTTAAATAAAAGATATGAAGTGATCAAAAGATGAATAAGTCCATCTTGTGCCGAAAAAAAATATCGTTTTCACACGGTCGAAATTTGATTGCTTGAAGTTTTGACGATTTTGAAAAGAAAAAGGGCAACTGTAAAAAAGCGGTCTTATGCAAATTGTAGAGCTTTTTCACGCTGCATCTTTTAGTATATTATATGAAAAAAAAGTTCTTAGAAATTTTTCTATTAATATCAATAAGAAAATGTCGCGAACTTTTTTCCCATACCTTAGACAATTTCTTCTGTTTGTTTGGAGACCAACGTACTTTTAATTCACAATAAGACGTTAACTATTTGAAATGGCTTAAATAACAAGTTCATGGACCAATGCCCAAACATTCAATGACTCAATGTAATTTTGTTTATATTATTGCGTATCCTTTATAAAAATTATTTTAGAGAACATTTGGTTCTCATGTAAAATTGAATGGATGTTATCCAATGACTTCTAATCAAAGTCGTAAATATAAAATTACTACTTAATGACTTGCAGTCAATGTCATATATATGAATTTACTAAATATTATAAATTTATTTATTTGAATTATTTACCAACCAAGGTCATACATACAATATTATTAGTGTTATTTTGGTCGAAAAATTACTTTTCCACTGTAAAAATGTTTACGTCAATTTTTGGCTATCCTACTCTAAAATGTTCATTTTAATATTGAAAGATATTCGATTTTCTAAAATGTTTATTTCAATATTGTAACACATTCGATTTTGTCAAAGATCCATTTATAAATAATCTAACAATTGGTAAAATTTTTGTATTATTGTTTAAAAATGTTGTATCATTATTATTTAATTTCAATTTAAAATTTATATTAATTTTAACAGAATGAAATTACATATTACTATCTTATACGATTGTTTAATGAAAAAGTCAACGTGTTTTTTATTAATTTACAATTCGTAAATATGTTTATTGACTATCTAAGAATATGACATTATTCATTGTTAATAATGATGAAAATACCATATAAACACGTTTGAATTATGAATATTTGTCATAAAAATATATGGCACAAACAACAAATATATTTTAGATACAACCTGTCGTCCGGATTACAATTGTCTGTCATAAAAGAAATGGCATAAACAATAAGGACACCTTGGACACAAGCTGAAGCACTGAAGCACTTTAATTTAGAAATATGTCAGGTTGTTAACGTCACTTATATTGTGATGTTAGTTGTACTATTTCAAAAATGTTTGAATGAAATAATGTGCCAGAGCGTATATATCAATTGTAATGTTATGTACTCAATTTTAGATTTTTTGTATGTTGTTAGTGTGAAACTTTTATAAAATTATAGAGTTTTTGAATTTTCTGTATTATTTCATTGCGTAGCCCTGTTTGAAATTATTGTATTGTTGTTTTCTTTAAAATGTAGTTCAGTGTTTTAAATGCAGAGCCCTGATGAGTGTTTCAATAGTTAAATAAATAACACGAAACGCGTCGGCGAAATTAAACTTTGCATTTCTTTTATTATTTGGTTAAGCACATCATTCGAATTTGAACAAATAATTACGACTTTATTGGTTGCTGAAAAGCAAGAATTGAGACTAGCAGATTGATTTGTATCGGAGGGATATAGATCGATCTGTTTTCTCTTCAATTTACGTACTTTGTATTTGATTTTGAAAATTTTCTTTGAAATTTTTCGAGATCTTCCATACAGTTACTTGCCACTTGACAATATTTTATTGAAAACAATTGAAAAACTTCTAGTTTTGTGGTAATTCTTCGCACCTTATTATGTTTAAGAAATCTCTGCTTTACTTTACGTTTATATATTAAACGTGGGAAGTTCTTCTACTTCTCAATTTAAATTATAAAATAATGCAGTGCTAAATCTACCTGAGGATTGGCCCTTGAGAAAGGTCAAAACTATAGTCGTAGGTCTTCTTAAAACTAATACACACCCACCCACATCCACACTCACACCCACACCCAAACAACGGTTTTGACATTTTACTAATATAAGAGGGTGTGAAAGACAATATGATAGTTTGTAAAATCTCGTATGAATTTTATTCTACTAGTTGAGACCTATCTGGATTCAAATTTTCAGACTAATCCATCGAGTATTTCACTAAAAAATTCCCGAAATATGAGCTCAGAACTGTTAACAAAGCTAATAGATAAGTGTCTTGACTCTCTAAGGAGCGAAAATGGAAACCGGCTGAGCAGCCCTATGTACCAGAAGATAGAGCGAGCGACACTCTGCAAAATCTAGTATACCACCCTTCACCCAAATTCGGAAGATATTTTTTATTCGAAGACAAAGTTTGCGTAGCAGTGAAATTATTGGGCTTCCATTAAAAGGTTCACTTTTGCAAACTGAACAACTTGGCTCGTATATGATTCGATAGAGCTGAACGCGGGCTATCAGAATATATATAGGATGTTTTCTTTTGGTCCTAAAATTAAAAAGAAAATCTTCGCGCAAAAACCAGAACTTTTCAATTTGACGATGGTTTTCCCAAAATTTCGAAAATCGTATTTTGCTTATTTTAACCAGAGTCTATATTTAAACATTTAATAATTTATTACCAAAATGATCAGCTCATCGAGCTCTACAAACTCTGAAAGTTTCAGTCGATTTTGAGAAAGTCATGTATAAAGTGGTACGTTTTCCATGGATTCACCCATACATTTTTTAAGACTTACAAAAATATTATCTTAAATAGGAAAATATATTTTCGTACACTTTCTAACATGTTCTAGAACATGGCATACACATTCATTCAAAGTTTTCAAATAAATACTTGATGCCTGAAGTGTCGCGTTACGTGGATAAGCCGTATATGTCATGAAAATTTCAGTTCTCACGGTCAAAGAAAAGTATGAAAAATATCATTCATACTGTATCCTCGGTTATTATGAAACACCCTTTATGCCTCAGTAGCACATTTTGAGAAAAAAACACTCGCCAGAAAAAGAACAATGTACATGTTTTGGCAAAAGAAATTATGCTAGATTGTAGCCCATTTCAAGAACTATTAGAATATGTATAAATCTCAAAATCGAGTTTTGTTCGAAAGATTGACTTTTCTGAGGAGGAGGGGGCTCTTAATCCATCTAATATGATAGTGTCCCGTGCTTTTTTTC